ATACATACATACATACATACAGTATATACATACACACACATACATACATACATACATACATATATATATAACTTGAATGCAATGTATGCTTCTTTGGATAAAATCATCTGCCAAGTGCATGAATGTAAATGTAAATAAAACATGAAGACATCTATGTACCTGGAACAGAGCTTTGGATGCATCATAGTCCAGTATATCCTCATGAACTCTTGGCTCAGACTTGAGAGCCGTTCTGTAATCTCCAAACAGAATGGGGTCTCTCATGGCTGAATCGAGGTCTGATCTGAAGTGCTCTTCAATCAGATTCTTTATATGCCCCTGGACCTATAGAGAGCAAAGTCGTGGCATGTTACAATAATTGTGTAGTTTAAGATGGTGACAATTACAGGTTTTTGTAACATGCTACTTTTTAAAAATAACTATTTAAAAATATTTTCTATAAATATTACAGATATATTTATATACAGTATTTATAGAAGTTATTACATTATTATAAGCTACAGGAAGCAAGCATACCGTAATTTTGTCAGTTTCATTGATAAGTCTGTCATGGAAGACTCTTAAGCATTCATTTCTCCATACACGGACAAACTGGGTGACTGTACAGAACCTGGTGAGGGAGTTAACACATGCTTATTATTAAAATAAACATGTCACAACCTGGTCATAAAAGACACTGCATAGTGTTGAATAGTGAAGCATAGTGGTATAGAGTATTAAATGGTATAGAGGGGTATAGAGCAGTGGTTCTCAACCTATTTGAGTATAACACTCAAAGGCTCCCAATATAATATAATATTAACATAACTTTAACTATAATAAATCTATTAACTATAATATATTAACAGAAACTAAACAATACTTAAAAAATAGCTATTGAGAGTAAAAAAAATAATTACATCTTGATTGTGTTTTTATTAGCATTTTCTGTATATTAGATTTGTTTCAATATATTAATAATATCATTAAAATTAATTACATTAGATTAATAATAACAACAACAACAACAATTATTATTATTATTGCAAACATCAAACTATAAAGAACTTCCTCAGTTTTTTCTAATTTATTTGAATTATGAAACTCTTTACCTTTCAGGATTGGTCAACGTCAAGCCATGGTAGACTCTGGAGAGATCTCGCAGGTTAAAGATATAGTGGAACTTGGAAGGTGTTGGCGGTAGGTCCTTAATTATGGTTTTGTACAACTCCAGAGTACAGAAGGTTAACTTGTCACAGATGTTTTGAATGCATTCCTCAAAGGACTAAAAATACAATAGTAAAAATTCTGATTAAAATCTTTCATTTCATTTGTTCTGATATTGGGAGCTGAATTATTTCTCACACCTTGGTGTGTCCTTTAAGAATAGAACAGTAGATGAGATGCAGGGACTCCTCCTGAGGAAAGGGGATGTTGAACACACTAAAAAGAGAGATGAATCGAGGGTCCACTTCATTCCTACCGCCCCCTGCCTTTCCCATGGCTGCAATGAAGCCCAAGTCCTTTATGAGTTTATAGTTAAGTTCCTTTCCTCTGTCATACATGCCTCCCCTGTCCAACAGCAGCTTTAGAAGAGCTATAGGCTGCTGAGTGCCATATTCATCCACCTGAGATCAAACAAATGTGAATCCATAATGAGCAGTGAGGTGAAAGTTCAGTTTCTGATATGACCTATGGTATAAATCCATTCTTACCCTTGGCATGTTGAGGTCATCCATAAACACAAGGAGCCTTTTGCCCATTGGAGGACCATACGTGTCCTTGGTTCTCTTTTCAACACTTGCCTCCAGAGTCCTCTGCAGGTCCATAGATGTTGTTCTCGACGAGAAATTGATGATCATCATTATCTGGCAAAAGGTGCAGCTTGTTATCCTGTGTATTAAGGTCAACTAGAGTGCATTATTTTTTATTTTTAAACAGCTTGTGTGATAGTCATGGCAATGGACTTACAGTTGTATCTGTATTAAGATTACTCAGGAAGTTCTGGATGGTGGCAGTTTTAGAGGTGCCAGACTCTCCAACCAGCACCACTGGCCTTTTCACCTTCACCATCTGTTCCAACAGCCAATTAGCACGAGTGGTGTCCACTGTCGGGACTGATAGAGAGTAATGGATGAAGCAAGACTTCAGTGAAGCATACTGAATAAAAAGAAATACACTACCAGTCAAAAGTTTGGAATCGTTAAGATTGTTTTTAATGATTTTAAAAGAAGTCTCTAATGCATATGTTGAAAAGTTTTTGCTGCTTAAAATTTTATAGAAAGCATGATTTATTTTTTAAGATTCTTTGATAAAGAGAAAGTTCTAGTAACAAAAGTTTTTGGTAACATCTTAAATGTCTTTATTGTCAATGTATTCAAATTTCAACAAAAACATTAAGCAAAAACTGTTCAGTGTTTATCATAATAAGAAATGTTTCTTAAGCAACAAATCAGCATATTAGAAGGATTTCTGAAGGATCACATGGCACTGAGAACAGGAGCAATGGCTGCTGAAAATTATACTTTGCCATCACAGAAATAAATTACATTTTAAAATATATTAAAGTAGAGAACAGTTATTTTAAGTTGCAATTATATTTCACAATATTCCTTTTTTTT